GTGGTGAGCGCGCCACTCCCCGGAAGGGACAATAGGGCGTTCGTTCTCCACCGCAGGCACCTACGGTCTGGAGTTTTGCAAATATCTCAGCAATCTTGTGGTTGTATTTCGCTTAATAGCCTGCCATAAAATTGAGAGAGGGCAGAAAATAAAAAGGTAAACATTGTGAATTCAACTACAGCCTCAGGTTAACTGAGTTCAATGCCGATGTGAGCTCACCAGATCAATCCCGTTGACGGGTGATTGCTGAGGGCACAGATCGACAAAACTAGATGAGAGACAGGCGAAACGAAGGACGCGCATGGTGTGGTGGTGAACGCGTTACTCCCTGGAAAGGACAATAGCGCGTTCGTTCCCCATGGCACATACCCGCGGTCCGGAGTTTTGCAAATATCTCAAAAATCTTGTGGTTATCCTGATAATGTTATCGGTCAAGCTGCACACCTTCATCCATCGTCTGCTCAACTGTTTTGCGCTCTGAGCACGAATTACCGATTGACGGATGACGCGCTGAGCGGGAACCACCCTCTATCGTTTTTCATTCAGAGCCAATGCAAATTTTAAAACGATGAACCCTATTTTTCACTTTTGGAAACGCTTTATTATAAAAAACAGTAGAGTTGAACCGGGAAGCTAGACGGAATGACAAGGACAGGGATTCATGTTAATTCATGAGGAAATTATGGATTTCGGATGATGGACAATGAACCAAATAAAGAAACAGCTGAGATCGGCAAAATATACAAAATCGGGTGGTTATATCAGCAAATGAGTAGTAACTCTTAACGTTGCTCGTTTCATGTGATAATGCCAAGAAGTTAATAAATCGCGTCACTTCTTACGTCACATAAAAAATGACATTGATAATAGGAAGAATCCGTCTCATTCTCTATAATCAGAGGTAATCATTCTACGAATTCCTCATGAATAGAGGAATTTGAACGAAGTGCTTGCGAAGACACATGATTTGTTTCATTGAGTGGAGTGACGTCATAGGTGGACGAAGAAAGAAGGAATCGTGCAGAAATGGCAAGCGTGTACTTGCCATAAGAACTAGGCTGAATCAGTAGAGAGACTCGATTTCTCCTTGTTATGAAAATGACCTGTAACTTCTTTGCACGCATAATCATTTTCTGTGCGCATGAATTCAGACATTTGGAAAAAGGCCTTCATGAAAAGCTGAGAAGAGCATGTAACGTGTTCACCGCAATAAAATATGCTCTGCTAAAGCTTTAAGCCTGTAATGCTATTTCTGGATAACGACCATCTTGGAAAAAAACCGTGAAAATCTGCTGCGTTTAGTGCTACGTGAGTTAATGGAACATTTAGGAGGTTTTAAGAGCAAAGGCAAATGATCGAGTGAAAACTCTTTTGGTGTAAGTTAAACCTGATTCAATGCTAAATGAGACTAGACGTAATAGAAACTACTTTAGAAATTAAGAAATTTCAAAATGCTAACCTTTATTTTTTGCCTTCCATAATTTTTCACGGCAGTTCATGATGTGAAATACAGCCACACCGACGCTAAGACATTCCTATTTGTGCTCTCCAGATTAGTTCCGTTGACGGGTGATTGGTGATGGCAGCGTTAGGTAGAAAACCAGTTGACAAAAACGCAAGGCAAGGATTCCAGTGGTGCAGTGTATAATACCCGGAAAAGCTAATCGTGGTTCAATCTACCCCGGAGTCAGAATTTTGCGATTATCTCAGCATCACTTTTTCCCGGAAAGGACAATAGTTCATTCGTTCCCCACCACAGACACCTGCGGTCCGAAGTTTTGCAAATATCTCATCATCTTTAATGATTGGGCTCCCCAGATCAATCCCACTGAGAGGTGATTGCTGATGGCAAAGGATCAATAGAAATAGCTGAAACAGGCGTAACAAAGGACCCGCGTGGAGTGGTGGTGAACGCGCTACTCCCCGGAAAGGACAATAGCGCGTTTGTTCCCCACCGCATACACCTGCGGTCCGGAGTTTTGCAAATATCTCAGCATTACTGAAAACGGTAAATGTTTAAAGAAATAATATTTCGAAACCGACTTTCTCTAAACCTCGGTGTGACTAATCAATATGTATTCTTTCTTGATAAGCTTGCACGAGGTTGATAAATATATTTATTTTCGGGTAACGTTTCGACGTCTTCGTCTTCCTCAGAGCCGATGGTGGATATATAATGATAATGTCCGGTAGTAACAGCTTGTATTTCTTCCGGGCATACATCGTTGCGCACATCGTGCAGAAGTCGGTGTTTTTATCAGCTAGCACAAAGCGTAGTAATAATATTTCGAAACCGACTTTCTCTAAACCTCGGTGTGACTAATCAATATGTATTCTTTCATGATAAGCTTGGACGAGGTTGATAAATATATTTATTTATACTATAAATAAATAAATAAATAAATATAAAATAAATAATAAATATAAAAATAAATACCATCAGCATCGTGTATAAAAGGGCATCACTGAGTGAGGATGCCTCATTCGATTCGAGAAGATGGCTCACTGAGGAAGACCTGGCTCGACACGAAGGCGAAGCTGCAACGTCGAGACGAACAACAATCATGGACCATCGACTCGGACCATCGGCTCTGAGGAAGACGAAGACGTCGAAACGTTAGCCGAAAATAAATATATTTATCAACCTCGTGCAAGCTTATCAAGAAAGAATACATGTTTAAAGAAAGTTGTTTACCGTAGGAATGAAAGTTCTTAACTTTTTATTATCTTCTGGGGATATAAAAGTATTTGGCTGAATGGATTGCGGGCCAATTTTACTTCTCGATGTCCTGAAGAAGGCGAAATCGCCAAAACGCCAGTTAATGTGGATAAATGGTGTGATAACAAACTCGAGTCCACCCATCAAAAAAACAGAGAGCTAAGAATTTTTTTTTGATTAGATATTAATCGAATTGCGTGATACACAATGATGTTGTCGGACAACAATAACGCATAGACGAGTTTTGCTGTACAAAAATCGATACCTTGCCGATTCACAGTAATCTTCGTTGTTGATTAATAACGTCAAGGGTCTGTTCATAGCACTACTCTCGTACTGCTTTTTCATCCGTCGTTTTACTTTTCGTTCATGAATGTGTCTGAAAATCTTAACTTCATTTAACCACCATCATACGGTTACATGTAATGCCAACTGATTAGGACTAAGTTTAATGTTAAAGAGCATGCTGAATACTTTGGTTGATGTCATAAAATCCGCTCCGGAGACAATGTATACCCTGCCATTAAAAAAAGTAGGCAGTAAATAATAACCACCATCAACGTAGACATCATCAACAAACCACCAGAACCGCCATAATTCGCCGAAACGTCAGCTTGTAGGTAAATAAATAAATAAAATAGCACTTCGTGTTTGCTGAACAGAAGTAGAAAGATATATTCAATCAATGCCGAGGTTAATAGAAAGTCGGACTTGGGAGTTACTACAAGATGTAGTAGCAAGATATTTCCGGCTTGCAAAAGAAGCACTGTCACTAAGACGGAAGATCGTCTTAGCTCGACAGGCGATACACTTTCTCCGCCGCTGCATAAAACACCAAGTCGTTCCAAAATTCATAAAAAGAAAACGACTACACGAAGTATGCGGACTGCCAGAGGATGACCACCGAGTACTGGACATCGAATTGCAAGTACTGCGCACCTGTGTACGAAGCAAACAAAACCAGATGTTCGCTAAGTGGAAGAAGTACGAGAAGAAAGAAAACTATTGTGCCCAGTATTTGGAGGACCGCCTCTGGAGGAGAATAGTGGGTGGGCTCCGAGGAAGGCGAAATCCGCCGAAACGTCAGCTTGTGCGTAAATAGAGAAATAAAATAGCACCTCGCGTTTTTGCTGAGCAGAAGTAGAAAGTAAATAATAAGTTAAAATTATCTCAGCGTCATTGAAGTTTTATCTCAGCATAGCTAAGGAAATTCATTTAGGAAGAAGTAGTATCTGTCGTTTCTTTATTAAATCAAGGGTTGCATCAAAAATGTTCTGTAATTAATATTTGATAAAAACCTACGTAATCACGAGTTTTCTTCTCCGATAAATTTAATATCGAGAATCGCCTTAAAACGTGTCCTTAGAACACGAAACTATTCCACTAAAGAAATAAAATTTTTCTTTACGAGGTTAAAATTTTATATTCCTCACAAGCAGACGACTTTTTCTGATAATAGAATAAGCGAGTTCTAGGTGATTAATGAAGGGCGAAACGAAGGGTCCCCATGGTGGAGTGGTGAACACGTTAGCCTCGAAAAGGGTAGTTGGGTATTCGATTACCTCCGCATACGCCTGTGGTCCGGTGTTTTGGAAATATCTCAGCATCATTGCGGTTAACAGAGCAAGTAATTCTGCTCATTCAAATTTTACACATCTAGCAAACAGCATGTGCTAATTTTATCTCCCTTGTATTAAATTACATTCACCAGATTTCCATTCAATAAATAATTTCCTCATTTTGAGCCTTTTGATATAATGTCTACTCAAAGTAAGTTTAAATTCTAGAGCAGACTAAGGTTATGAGCTCATTAATGTGTGTGTAGGATTAAATATCACCACTTCTGTTAAAATCGCAAAACTGGCTAGAAACCATTAGCATTTTCTTAATGTCTGATATAAAGAGTAAGTATGGAAGAGTAGCAGAGATAAATAGCTTTGGCTAATGTTGCTCAATTACCTTAAAGAAGTTGGCAAACCGTAAACTGAAAAATATTAAGCAGCTGCCTCAAATGCTGCTCTTTAGGAGTAGCCTATTGCCGGAATACTACCCACGGTAGAAAAAGGTCGATCGGATGAGTTTTGACAATAATTACCGGCAATCTTAATTAATAGTATGGCACTTCCCGTAATCGGTAGATATCCACTATAATACAGCATTATGTTAATAAAAGAGTAAGAATGCTGTAATGTTTACCCCGAAAAATGTCCTGGATTTTAAATGAGTTTTTCTTCTGCTGATTAAATTAGATTAACTTAACACTTAATCTTCCACAGTTTAGGTTGGTTGCTTCGCACGTATGGGAATCTATGAGGAGAATGCACGATTTATTCTAATCTCGTTGCTTCTTGTACTTTATCTAATTTTTGGTGCTATTTTATTCCACTATGTTGAACGAGAAAACGAAGTTGACGAACGACGTAAGGTGGGTTACTTCGTTTTCCCTTCACGTCTCCTTTGTAAACTAATTTTTACCAAACGGTAAGCATACTTCCATAATTTCTTTCATTATGACGAAAAAGTGTGCTATTTCTTACCCATCGCTGCCTCTAAAAATAGCTACAGTTTTTGAAAGCCCTAGTCTTTTTTGGGGCAAAGAGGAGAAGCCTTAGAGATCTGTGGAGATCAAATCACTTCAGTGATGACATTACTCCACCTGATTGATTCGGTTTATTTTTACACCGAAAATTACAGCCTGTTTACGTCTCCTCTGACCGACTATTTGTTAGATAGCTACAATCTAAATTACACCTTAATCCGATCATCCATACTAACCTCCACTACTGAAATGTTCACGTTTTTAATTGGTAAGCAGGGATGTGTTGACCAGCTGCCACTCCTTGCCATGAGGTCTCGAGCATAGTGGCACACAGCTTGTCCGGCCTTCATAGTATGGATTTGGCGGCCATTTGTAGGAGAACACGTGGAATCACCTCCGATAATTCCTACTCAGTTTTCTACAATGAAGAAATTGAATAACAAAAATTTATGGGTATTACAAATCGTAATTGTAAGTAAGCTCGGTTAAAAGGGACCGATCTTTTAATTCACTACTCCAAATGACATATATGCAGTCGTTTTTGATATGAAGTTTTGCTCCAACTCATATCCGCCATTTCTACATGCGCCTAGTAGCCTAGTGACTAGCTATCGTAAGAAACGTGGATTCATCTGTAATATTTAGAATATACCACTGAATAGAACCAGCGCGAAATTTCTAAGTTTCTCTAACACATCGTGAAGGAGAAGATTCCAATTCAACAACGGATCTTCCTATGAATTTGAACCATCCATTAGTCAAGCTTTCTGTTTTTTCCCACGCAGTTTCAACTGTCAGGAAGCGCTTTTGTAATTAATTTCCGATCTAGATTGTTTCGGTGTTTTCACACTAAAGGTGCTGGTCATCCAGTAGCACCAATAATTTTCCTCTCTGGTGTTTCCAATGAAGTAAACAAGCGTATTCAATTGCCGGATTAGGGTCGAATATAATAACTACATTCTTATAGTCCTTATTATCTATATGAAAATCGGCCAGTCACTGACGTCACTATTTCATAGTTCCTGGGATTTCTAAAGAGGTGAGAATAGCAAGATATACACGATTTAATTTTAAGAATCATTTATGTTCGCCGTAAAGGGAGCTGTGCCTTAGAAGATCAGCCAAATCGAGAACAGTAAAGTTGGACACTAGCAGTGATAGCTTATCAGAACTGTTTGGAGATGCCGTTTTGCCTTTTATTTACTGCCTATTCTTTTTCACACGAGGGTATAATGTGAAATACAGCCATAAGGATGTTAAGATACAAGCAGAACTCGGAACTTCAGGTGGCCTTGAAATTCGAGGTTACCCTTTCCGGGGGCTCACGTGTTAAGCAAAATCGGCATAGGCAAACCAATAGCCTCGGTTGGTGTGAGTGTGTGTGTAAGATGTGAATCTTCAGCGAGGGAAATCAGGGCTTCGAAGCACAACTGAAGTTACGAGTTTTGCTCATATTCGGAAGTGTACTCCTAGTTGCCTGGTGCACAAAGTTACTCATAGTTGCAAGTGTTTTAAACCATGGTTAGTACTAGAGTGATAGATAAGTTAATCACATTGATTGGCTGTCCACCTGTCTTCTAAATCTGTCATCTATAGCAATTCTTTCTTCGCTTGCCACTGTCATTTATGAGATGGTCGGGTTCGTGGATTCTGCTGCAGCTTCAAAAAATCTACCATCTTCTCTCCTCACTGACATTATGATGTTGGTAAAGCACAGTTTTAACTGGAATCCTAGAGGCTTCGTATTTTTATGATGACAATTAACATTGGCGTTTGCTGTGATTTCATTGACGTCATCGGCTTCAGTGAATAGTTGACTGACTATCGTCGCTGATATAACAGATAAAATTAGCTAAAATATGTAATAGAATTTGTATAACAAAACAAAAGCGGGAAATAGCCTGCAGTTTCCTAGAATATAATGTTGTTACAGGTTCAAAAAAGCTACAGCAATTACTTCATTTAATTTCATCATGCATTTTTCCTCATTTTCTTCTTAAGCTTAGGCTCTAGTTTCTTCTAGATCAAGAGTGTCAGTACTTTTAATCATTGTAATTTTCGGAAATGTAATACTTAACTAACTTTTTGAGAGTTTAAAAACTGCGACGTTGACAGTAAATATAGACCATCTCACCATGGAAAAAAGCAGAAGCATAAGATAACCTGCGTTGTTTCTCCATAAGTTTCGGTTTCTATAAGCTGTCTACTTGTTCTACTTGCAAAGCAGTTGAGTAGCTATGTTGGATCGGTACGAAGATGAACGCATTGGTTGGCCTATGCCTACCCGTTACATTTTTTAATGGATCTTTGGAAAAATGGCGCTCTCTTTCTTCAGTGGTCAAAAAGTTAGCCGAATGTCCATATCGCAGAATCAATTTTTGCTAAATAAAACTTTTGTCTACTTTCTGAATGCCGTTCAGTAAGTTCTATTTTGAAAGTAGTAGTGGAGTTTCGCCCGTGCAATGGAGTAAAATATTTGGGTTTTCAGCAGCAAGCACATTCAACTCAGCGCTTTGTTAAATGAACAACATTATTATTTCTACAGGTGTTTTTCTCATATTCTGAAAAAATTCAAGGTGAATATGTCTGGGTAAACATACCTTCAGCAGTCCCCTCGTTGCCCTTTTGTTTGAAAGAAACGAAGCAGCTAGAATTCTAGAATGCAATTCAAGATTTGGGCTGAAGTGTTGTTCCTATCCTAGCAATTTGTTGTGGAATTTTTTCAGCTCTTCCCAAATATGCAAAGATAAGAAGTTCTATTGATCTTTTGCATCCAGAAGAGGCTTTTTTTTGAAGTATACGGTAGTTTTATTGGTAATTTTTTATCGACAAGTCTTTCACCGATAAATTTCTACGCTTATAGAAACGAGAGCAACTCGGTGCAAGAATTCGATTTATCAGCACAGTAGCTTTCTAACCTTCTGTATTTTACAGAAAAGTGGTACTGAGAGATTGAAACTTTCTACCGAAACTCAGTGACGATAAAGCAATGAAGTAGCTTTGAAAATATTTGGAGATAGAAAATATTGTCAGAAAATCGAAAATATTAGAAAAAAACCTTTCGACAAAACTACGCGTGCCTTACAGCGTTCTCTTATTAAAATCTTAATAAATAAAATTAATGTGTAAAAGAATTAGCGGAACCAGGAAGCGGATAGCACAGTGGTGGTGATGTTCGTCATCACTGGCATAGTGCTGGTTCGATTCCGCTCAGAGCCAACCAAGACTCTCATCCCTGCGGGTCCGGTAAGTTGGTGCCAACCTTGTCTAGGAAGAAGTTGCCCTCTGCAATCCAATTGAGAATGCTAAAGCTCGGCTATCTTAGGACTCCAGGGAGAATTGCTCGACCAGCATTCTACAACATTCAAAATGAAATGGAAATCCTCAAGCAGTAGCTGAGGCCACGCGTAAAAGTTGGATCTTAGTGAACGATGGTTGCTAGGAAACGAATTGAATTTGAGAAGGGCTGGGGTCAGCACAATAGATGTGAAGACGGACCAAATAAAATAAAATTTAAAAAAATGGAGGAGTCGAAAAGAAAAGTCACTGAGGTGACACCGTAGCACTTTATCAGCCTTATAAATGCTTACTCGCATTTGTCTTTTATGAGAAATATATACTGGTTTTGCTTAAGCGACTTCTAAATGTTGTAATGAAAAGGGTGTAATAGTGATTAATAATTTGCTTAAATTGGGAGTGACAACTCGTCCGATTCTTATAGGACGGACCAACTGATATTCTCTGTAGAGTGGGAAAAGAAAAACAAAAAGATGCATTTTTCGTCACTGCAGTTTTTCCGGAAGTCGAATAATGTGCTTTAGAATTGTTAGTGTACTTCCATTTGTATCACATGCTATCTCGTTAATTATAAAGTAACTCGAACGTACACCGATAAACTTCAATCGTCCCCGTTATGCATCAAAGTTCTGCCTAAGCCGATTGGGCTTCTTTCAGTTTCGGAAGACAAATAGCGTTACATTTTTCAGATTATCCTCTTTTTCTAATGTTACCGAGTAGAAGGCAGCCACCTGTTTGTTCGCTCACTTTCCAATCTTTGATCACAAGACTTTCGGACTGCAAACGTGGAACACTTTCACATGGTGTTTCGAAATCCAGAAGCGTTCATAACTCATAATGAGGCAGAAAGCCAATAAAGAAAGAGTGATGTTGACAGAAAGCTTATCAAACATTATAGTCACTAATTACCGTTCGTTCTCAACACATTGGCGAGAACGGAAACTTCCAAATTGAACCTTTTCTTAATCTTAATTTTTTTATTTAAAATTCACTACGTAATAAACGGAAGCGATGGTAAGCTATGTAAAGCAATTGGTTCAATATCGTCGAAAAAGTACGTTAACAGCCAGATGTAAGCAATAATTATAACAAGGTACTGATTTTCAGTTGACTTGCTTTCCTCCTAAGTGTCAACAGCTCATTTCTTATAACAAGCTTTTTCAATAAATCACATAGGCACATAATAACTTTTTTGCAAAATTGTCACAGACTAATTCCATGACAGATGTAGAGCGAGACAATTCTAATGAGCAATTGCTCGTATTCGGTTGTTAGCGTTGGACTTGTGCTTGCTGAAATTACACCAAACATTATAATAGCTTTCTTTTAAAAACAAAAAATGATAAAACATCGGTACCAGTAGGGGTTTCTTCAGAGCTTTGCTTTCCTTTTATAGAGTTTTATATTCTCCCGTTATTTATTAACCGTGTTAGCTCGGTGGCTATTAACCAGTAATATCAAATAACTTACGGTGCAAATTTTAGTGTCTGGCACCGTATCTTGAATGAATACATGTTTACAATTACTGGGCAATCCTGTCGAATTATTCGAATTTGCGAATGGTAAAAGGGCAACATCAACAAAATTTAAAGTTTGGTTGGACAAAATTTCTACATCGAAGTCACGAGATAGTAGTGCCAGAGCGCTACCGTCGCCACAATAACTATTATACAGCCGGGTTTTTCTAGGATGACGGACACACCTAGCACAGTCTTTAACGAACGGCCAGAAATTCCAAGTACGAGGATGGTTCACGTCTTGGATTAGTATGATAGTGAACAAATCCTTTACTTTGGATAAATCTCAGTTCCACATCCAGGTATACACCTTTAACACTTACCACCGAAAGGCTTAGTGTTGAACAAAAATGGTCACAGTGAGAACCATCTAAACAAGAAATGCAACTTTTGTACCAGTATAAGGGATAAAAAGTCTAGCGTAGATCAATTCTTTATGGAGATGGCAAGCGTTCGGCGACTTGATTAAATGCCCAAGAGGTAATTAAATAAATATTTGGCCTATACAGCGTCTTGTGGTCTTGCCGATGCACTCGAAGCACGGATTTAAACCGACAACCACTTGTGTATTACAAGGAAACCCTAACTACACACAGCCTAACGTTTTTATAGACGCAAAAAATGCATCCAAAATTCGAACTAATACTTGAAAACCAAAAGTGACATTAAAGCAACTACAATCTACGCCATTTCATAGTTCAAAGTATTTTTTTGGTGTAATCAGTGAGATACAACCTAATCAGCGATTGACTAAAGGACATAGGGATTTAAGGAAAAAATGCCATTCTCGAGTAAATCCAGGAAAAAACTTGTGAAACCTTATTTCTCAGAATTTAAACGGTTGTCGGCTTGAGATTAAATTTCTAAGAGAAATTTTGTTTGAATCCATTTTTATTCAATATGAAGGTAATGAGTATGATGGGCGCTTGCCCCCGAATGGACATTAAAGTTCGCTACTTCATGGGAGTATAATATTCTGCAAAAGACGTCAAAGAAATGGCCACTTTTTCCAACTGTTCTCAAGTTTTTCAGTGTTGGCTAGTACTTTCTAAACGCGACGATGAATTTTGGATGTGGATGGATTTTCAATAGAATTTCCATATAGATGAGATGGATAGTGCCAACCAGTAAGCTGTCACTACCATTAGATGCGATCTGACAGATGTAGATAGGAAGTCTGCCTTTGATGCAAAAAGTTATAGATATCGAAAAAAAACGCTCGAAGAAATATAATTAAATAACAGTAGCCTTTACTAAGCTCATAAATTGCTTCTAGTCTAGCTAGTATGATCTTTCATCATTAGGAATGTGATAGTTGAGAAAACTTTACATCGACAGCACAGCACACTCATCATAAAAACGAAGCATCCTGAAAATGAGGCAATCTAATGAGCTGTCAGTCGTACAGTTAAAAGAATACACTAATCTGTCAGCACTTACAATTAGTTGTTTTATTTGAAGTAACACTTTTAAAAAGATGTTGATCAGAAAAAGGAACAACACATACCTCTGTGAGGAAGAGAACAACCGAGGCATTTGGTAAATAGGTAAAAAAAATCGAGACTGAGTCGTCATAAAGCAATAGAAGTTCAACAACGACTATCACTGAATTTTCCCGATGTAGTAAAACTTTGTAGTGTCGGAGATAGTCCATCGGTTATCGACTAATCAACAGTTACATCACCCAGTGGTTTATAATACACTGGGATTTATCGCGAAGGCCGATCCGAAATGAGCATTATGACATTAACATTCCGTGTGAAATCCAGTGAGCTACAAAGGTGTTATAAAGCTACAGATGAAGGAGAGTTAGGGCCCGAGCGAGTCTTCATGAATACAAACTACTTAAGCACCGAAGAATAATAAAATATATGAACAAATTTTCCGTTTGCATGTCAAAAATCGAGTACAATTTATGCTTTTACCTCTAACAGATTTCTTTTCGTTTATTCTAGAATAAATAAAATTGGAACCTGGTTGTGAATTTTTCACGAAAATCACTTTTCACAATAACTGATTACATTGCTGTGAAGCATTCGGTTAACATACTAGCTCGTTTACAGCTTATCCTCGAACTAATCCTATACAAATCCGTCACTAGCTTGGTTGCCCAGGTAACTTATTCATGTTACGACGAATTTTGTGGGAGCTTTATCATATGACGATAGGGACACAACCAGAATCGCATTTGAAACTCATCTACAACAGCGAGCAGTATTCAGTGATAACTTTTGAAAAATATAATAAGGAAACTTGCTCGATTACGTATAAATCACAGGACATCACCATAATGTCGTCAGCCACCAAGGTACTCAGACGAGCAGCAGTAGTTTACGTTGTTTGTCAGGCATCGGATTAGTCCAGCAGGCAAAACTTGCTCAGAAAACACAAAGTGTATCACACTTTTCCTGTAAGAACTTCTACTACACTATTCTTGTTAAAAAGGTAACTACTGGCTGCTCAACATAATCCGCCCTAGTGGCAGGAAGTAATACAATATATCCTACAGAATATTATGTTAGGATATGTTATGTTATGTACCTTTTTGGTCTAACCAATGATAAGCGTGTGGGCCAATTTGTTGGCGTCGATTTAATCTCATCCACAACATTATTACTCAACCAACAGACTCGAGATTTCGCATAAAGAACATCCGTGGAAGTCAATTTCATATTTGTGCCATCTAGACATTTTTTACACATAGACATTGCTTGGAACCCTTGATCCATTTTTACTGCCTCAAAATTGATTGTATTTTTGAGTGAAGAACAGTTGTGCATAGTAGGGGATACATTGCTTAGTAGTCTTCCAAACATGATAGAGGTTCGAAATTTCTACCTGCAACAGCAGCTGGAAAATTCACGTTCTCCTTAACTTGGTAAGTCACATCAAATTACGTGTGCCATACGTGTGCCAATTCTACTTGAAATAGTGGTCAAGTAGACCAACATGAGAACTTTTAGCGGCACACTCCGTAATTATCCCAAGACAGGAAATCATGTCATATTATCGCAATATGTCAGCATCGTGTATTTCGTCGTACACCCATCACATATCTGCATTAGGACATTACGCCAACTCATAAAGGGATTATCATTTGGTTGACCATTCTCCGTCTCTATCCTGACTTAGAAGGAATGTCCATGCCATTAGTTTTCAATAACAAACTCTACAAAGTGCAAACAGGACAGGAGCCATTATTAGATGGAGAAACCAACTAATAAAGGCAACGAAACTGAAAACCGCATGGGGAAATTTTGCAAAGGAAAGGAAACGAGCATGGAAACTGTCATGTTATGAAGAATATCCCGCTCCAGAGTAATTCATTTCTTAAGAAGAAGGGATTTCACCGGTGGTATCATTAGGACGCCACTTCTTTACAAACAGAAAGTGGTGATCTACCTATGTTTCCTTTGTGCCATATTCTTCCTACTTTGTAGAGTTCCCTGCTATCGCCAAGAAAAAAATAAAGATTTTTTAAAGCCGGAAAGGAAAGATTAATTTCCATACCTTTGTAAATCGAATGGCGGTGTAGCGACAACAGTTATACTTTCCTGAATTGTTTACTATCACCTGTCGGCCCGTTGATCCTCGAGTGACTAAAGCGGGCGCCAGCAAATCTTCCATTTTTCCCTGTCACCCGCAAGAGTAGCCCAGTGGGTTCTGGTCGCTCTAGAGACTCTTCGAGCATCATATCTTTCTTCAAGGTTCCTTGTGAAGAACTCAGACCATCGGGTCGGTGGTCTTTTTGCAGTACGTTTGGCATCTCGAGGAACCCAGTCACTAACGGCTGTTGTCCATCGGTTGTCATTCATACGCATTACGTGTCCGGCCCACCTTATCTTCGACTGTTTGGCGCGTAGAACGGCATTTCATCGTTGACGCAGGTCGGAGCTTCTGATCCTTTCCCTTGCTAGCATTACACGGGATATGACGGAAGGTGGACGTGGCTATCGAAGAGATCCGAGCAGTGTTCGTGAATGATTTTCTCCATTGCCTTTCTGAACGCTGTTACTGCTCCGTCTGTGCGCCGGAGAGCAATCATTTTAGTCTTGTAATTGGCGAAGCCTCGGTGGGCCTTTGCGAATGCTTTTAAAAGCGTCCGCAGCTTCCACCATTACTGCTCAGCTTTCACAGCGCTAACGTGAAGATGTTGAATGGGCCGATCACATTCCTCGTCGATGTTATCGACAACGGCACCTTCCCAACAGCCAACTAGTGAATTGAATAAGTCCGACTTCACGGTGGCTTTGGGACTTCATTTTTCGCATTTAGCGAATTTCGCACTTTTACGTGACGAATGGAATCATGCACGGAGGCCTACCAATGTATCGAGCTAGTGCTGCTATCCTCCCAGACAAGTCTGGTACTAATTTTCCGACCCCAGGAGGATGGAAGGCTTGGTGGGCCATGGGCGCGGGGGTCAATTCCATGTGTGTTGCAGTGGCGCCTCCAACCACTGCTCCACACGCGCCCACTAAAATACTTATGATACCATAGGTAATGAGAAGGATTCTTTCTTGATAAACTTGCACGAGGTTGATAAATATATTTATTTTCGGCTAACGTTTCGACGTCTTCGTCTTCCTCAGAGCCGGTGATCCGAGTCGATGGTCCATGCTACGCTTTGTGCTAGCTGATAATACACCGACCTCTGCACGATGTGCGCAATGATGTATGTCCGGAAGAAGTACAAGTTGTTACCACCGGACATTGTCATTATATATCCACCATCAGCATCGTGTATAAAAGGGCATCACTGAGTGAGGATGCCTCATTCGAGAAGATGGCTCACTGAGGAAGATCTGGCTCGACACGAAGGCGAAGACGCAACGTCGAGACGAACAACAAGCATGGACCATCGGACTCGGATCACCGGCTCTGAGGAAGACGCA